TGTTTTGTAGACGCCTCAAGCTGTGCAAGTGGTGAAGTATGAACGCTTGTTTCTACTCTGGGCAGCTCGCACATTCATTGCCTGCCCACAGCAGTTTTGGAAGGGAGTAAAGTAGCTCAGATTTAAATGAATAATTTTTAAAACATGGAACAAGATGGATGTCTTTTTTGGGGGACGCAGGTGTAAACCATTCAGTCTTGCTGATTATTTGCTTATTGTGCCCCCTGAATGTGCCAGGTAGCAGCTGAATGAGAGATTTGTGTCTACTGGGAGTGATAGTTTGCTATAATAGCTTTTATTTTGGCAGTATGATTTACACGAACAAATGCGCTAATGTATTTTTACTCTTAAAGATAGTTTGCAAAAATATCTAATACACTTACATAGCATCATCTTAGCATTTTGTATCTGTGGGAGTTGTGCTTTTTAAAAAGATGGGCACCGAAGCTAATACTAGAGCCTGACGAAGGGAAGTGGAAATCCTGTGCGAATGCAAAAGAAATCAGTTACACACGTGCAATAGACCAATAGATCTTTATTCAAATACTTTGTTGAGTCCAAGTACACATGGAGGTTGTAATCAGTCATTCAGTCAGTTATTTGTGAGATGTTGTAACTGTATGATGTGCAATAATGAACAACATTTCCCTGCTACCCAAGCCCTCTCCTCAACACAGTTGTTTGAGCCACGATGAAGGTTAAATTCTAAAATTTGTGGTAGTTGTAGTCCATCAGGTAACACTAGAGAACAAATCCAGATTTTTGTAAACAAAAGAGTGCAAGAGGGCAACAATCCATTTATATAGCTATAACAAATGGGGCTGGTTTTTAAATAGAAAAGTTTTTCCAATGTCAGTGCCACAATGAAAGTCACTGAGCTCTTCAGTACGACCTATTCAACTGCCAGTACTTGCCTTTGGAGATTAAATGGGTGTAGCTGAACCCACTTTATTGCATAACTGGTTTTGGTGTCCTCAGATGCAGCCAAGTTCTAGAATTGTCCATTTGTGATCCCTGGAGAAAGTTTTGGCTCTCAAACCTTCCTTCTCCCCATGTCAGTCACACAAATGTGATAGACTGATATTTCTTTATTTTTAAGTATTTAGTTGAGTCCAAGTACACATGAAGGTTGTAATCAGACATTCTGAGGCAATTATTTGTGAGCAGTTCTAACTGTGTGATGTGCGCAATATAGAACATTTCCCTGCTACCCAAGCCCTCTCCTCAACGCAGTCATTTGAGCCGCGAAGCAGGTTAAATTCTGGAGTTTGTGGTAGTTGTAGTCCATCAGGTAACTAATCCAGATTTTTGTAAACAAAAGAGAGTGAGAGGGCTACAGTCCACTCATATAGCTGTAACAAAATGGGCTGTTTTTTAAATAGAAAATTAGTTCTTTAGGGTCAGATTTGAGCAAATAATATGAATGTGATTGATTGTGATGGACTGTACGGTATATATGTAATCATTTGACAACCCTTATTTTCATCTAAAATTGTCAGTCTATATTATCCGTTATCTGAATTTTTAGCTCCTTATAATTAGTAGCAGTATAGACGATGCAGTTTTCATATCAGTCAAACTCTAATTAATACTCCATACCTGTAGTACTTTTTCCCTTCTTTGTGCACTTTGCCTCTTTCTGACTCTCCTGAGTGGTTGAGAGCAGGCCGTAAAACCTCTTTAGATCGCAGCCTCACAAGACCGGGGTCACACCCCTTCCACTCTAAATCACCTCCAGCTCCAGCACTGCCATTACATTAGCGTGTGTCCCATTAAAATGATTCCCCTACCCCATTCAGATGATGCATGTGATAGTGTGATGTGTCCTGCCCACACCCACATCCACACCCCCAAATGTCACAATATTTCTGGTGCAGGGGTCAAGATATGTGTGCTGTTGTGTGAACCAATGTGGAAAAATACATTTAAGTGACAAAAACAATACAGAGCCACAACACTGTATTTGTGGTGAGGCCATATTCCTATCTGTCTCTTTCCTCCATATATATTTTACACACACACACACAGTGACTTCCTCACACACAGTGACTCCTTTCTGTGAAAGGTTAACTGCTGTCCATGTTCCATGCCTATGTCATGGCTACATTAGTCTCCATTATGGCTCTTTGGCTCGAGGGTGTCCTGCTAAAGCCTCTGTGGGGGCAGCAACTGTTCTCCCATTATCCCTCATTATGGCTCCCGTGGCTGTAGTCACTTAGCTAGTGTGAGCCAGTCTAAGTTATGAGCCATGTCAGGTGTGCAATCGTACAGCTGAAAGGAAGCAAAAACACTACCCACAAAGATTACCGTGGCCTTTTGTACCTCTGCCTATATGTTTTAAGGCACAAATGGAGTGTCTCCCAGAATTATTGGCAGCCTTTGTAAAAATGAGCAAAAAATGGCTTTGCTGGTTATGAGCATGATGATATAGTGAAAATATATGAGAAGAATAACCATACAATGAGGTAATACTTTTAAAGCTAGAACAATTAATTATTATTATTTTTTAGGTCCTAAAACATATCACAATTATTGCCACATTATTGCCAATCTTTTATACAGTATCTTGTGCACATTACTTTTGCTAAGATAACTGCAATTTTCTTGGCTTGTCATGGTCTCGAAATTTTTGCAGATGATTAATTGCCATATAAATAATTATGATTAACAATTTGATTGTGTTTGTTGTTTATGGCATGCAGTACTTAAAGTACAAGCCTAAAATGACCACATTGTCTGTCTAGCTATCTTGCTTCCTAGCTGTCGATACGTAATAGCTCCTAATTGACAACAGACACAGCTCGAGCTCAAATAAACAAACATTACACACTGCTGCCCTCTAAAGCTGTTATAGCACCAGTTAGAATTTCTTTTGTTTTCATAAACCTCATTGTATGTCTCAATAAATAAATACTGGCATTCAGCTCAAAAAATTGCAGTCAGGTGATTATGTGAAATTGTAACTGTCCTAGTATTTTCTTTTAGTACAGGATAACTAGGGAGAAAATATCTAAAGAGATCTGAGACTTTTCCTCCATAGAAAATCTCTCCAGATCTTTGAGTCCTTTGTCCTTACTTTTGGACACTACTCTTTTCCTCTGCCCAAATTTTCACTGAGCTTCAGCTCGGGGAACTTGGATGACTACTGCAAAATCTTGATTCAGTGAACCATTTTGTGTTGATTCAGGTACTTTGGATCATTATTCATTAGTCCCTCTAAACTGGTGCCACTGTAGTAGGGCAGAAATTTGATGACTTGTTGGAACCGTGACGTTGTATGTGCCACAAAGAAAGTCACTGAGCTCTTCAGTATGACCCATTCAGCCGCCAGTGTTTGCCTTTGGAGATTGCATGCGTGTTGCTGAACCCACAGACTTTGTTGCCATAACTGGTTTTGGTGACCTCAGATGCATCCTAGTTGTAGAATTGTCCATTTGTGATTCCTGGAGAAAGTTTGGTTCTCAAACCATTCCTTCTCTCTATGTCTGGGGTCCTGATACATGTTTATCCAGTTTCAGACAGGTTTACTACAGCTCAAGTTGTTTGAAACTCCTTAATTGTTTTGCTTTTTCTGAGATTTTCACATGCAAAGCTACTTTTCAATGGCCATTCGCTGATTTATGAAGCCCAACAACCTTTTTTGTCTGATAATTGATTATTTTTAGGGTGCCAATAATTTTTTTATAGGTTTTTTTTTCCCTTTTGATACATTTTAGATTATCATTTAAGCAGAAAAGTGAAATGTTTTTTCCATAGACATTTTGCTAATTTTGACCTAGAGTGCCAATAATTTTTGAGAACAGTGTATGTGCATTTATTTAAACTTTATTACATTTTTGTTGAGTTTCTATGTGAGGTCCATGTTGCTAGTGTGTCTGTGAGTGTGTGTGTTGGGGGCGTTGGGCTTGGCCATGGCAATAGATTGTGTAGTAAAGGCTCCTGTATTGGGTTCAGATTGATGTTGGGTGTAATTTGCTGTTGGGGGTTTAGATGGATTCGAAACGCTTGGAGCAGAGTTCATGTCTCCTAATATAGAGTGGATACCAGCTCTCTTTAGCTTTTTTACTTGCTCCCTCTCTGTTTCTCCTTCTCTTTTTTCCTCTCACACATGCTCTCACAACCTCTCCTCTAACCCACCAACACATAAACGTTCTCTCTAACACAGTGACACTCTGATTGAAGAGCTGTTGAGGGAAGGACATAGTCAGAAGCATGGAGTAATAGGTGATTTTTTGGAGCATATACATCAGTCCTGCCATTAAAAACAGTCTTAATTGTCAGTTTCTGAACAGGTATCAATAATTGCAAGCTTGTCTGTTAAAAAACAGCTGGTTGTTGGCAGGTATGTTTTGATATCTACCGCCAACGATCACAACAAAAGGCACCTCACAGTTACTTTAATGTACTTAAGTTTGAAGAAAATAAAAAAATATATATTTACACTGTACTGTGAAGATGTTGATTGTGTTATCTGTATATTGATATTGAACATGGCCTTGCACCGGATCATTAGTGAGAGAGACTAGAGATTAGAGTGTCTGTGTATGAGCAGCGTGTGAGAGAAATGGCGAGAGTGAAGGAGGAAGCAGGAGAGGTGGAGTAAAAGTGTGCATGTGTGTGAGGGGTTTGGAGGGCAATCTCCCTGCTCTGGCCTCCTGCCCTGGCAATTATCTCAATGATTTCCTCCTCTTTTCAATTCTCTCCATTTCCACCCTGCCGTCCCTTCCATTAGAGGAGCAATTTACCAGAGTGCTGTGACACAGGAGCCAGAGAGAGAGAGAGAGGGAGAAAAAGAAAGGGGGGCGGTGGGGAAGGAGGCAGAGAACGAAGGGCCTGGGAGATGTAAGAATGGAGGAGCGCAACACTGTGTGGGCAGAGAGAAGAACGTTTTATTTATTTGTTTATTAACTGGTGGGGGTGGTGTAGTATTCTCCTACCATTGATCCCATCGGCAAATGTCACCTGTTTATTCACTTATTTCATTATAATGTCTTTTGCAGGATTCTCTTACAGAGTCGTCTCCGGACGCCCCCAGATAGACAGTGGAGGGGGCGGAGCATGCGATGGATAGGTGGGGCCCTCTACAGAGTCTCTGCCAATAAGCTTTCTCGCACACATACTACCAACACATCATCTGTCAGATCAGGTAAAATGCTGTGTGAGTTTTGTATGTTTGTGTTTGCATTAGAGATGCACCGATATGGAATTCTTTAGGCCTTTTTTAGTCGAACACCTTGCCGGAGGCCATAAACAAATAATTTTTGCATTTTACATATAATACATATACAATTTACACAAAACCAAAACAATACAACTAATATACCTAAAACAACATATAGCTTTAGGGATGCTCTGATCTAGTTTTTTTGCACCCCCATCTGATCCAAATACTTTAATGCTGAGTAACAGACAATTCCATTCCAATATTTGTATTTTCATAACTAATATAGCCACACAATTTTGGAAAGATATGCCACTGCTGCAGTAAAATCACTAAATTTATAATCTGTGCATAATGTGACATTCTGAACTGATTATTTTCTTTTTAGTGTGTTTAATAGGCTTATAGTTCCTATTTGATTCACCACCCTAATTATATATCTACCAGTTAGTTCAAGATTCTACAGTTAAATCCTTAAATCAGTTCAGTTTTTATAGTGCTATGATTAAGTTGTGAATTTCAATTCCTAGCACATGCACAGTAACCTCTCAGTTTAAAATGCATTGTTACTGTCAGTCAGTGGACCCTTTTTACACTTCCATAATTCGACACAGTGAAAGTTGTCAAGTAGGGAAAACATTGCAGCAGTGGCAGAGAAGTAGACCACTCACTTATTTTTATGTCCTCATTAAGGTATTTATCTCATTTTTCCATTAAAGATATAATTCATCTGGTAGAGCATTTTTTCATTTTCAGAAAGGAGCAAGCATGACAATGTCTATATTAAATGTAGGCTGCTGATGCCTGTTCCTTCGGCACTGGATGGCAAGCAATACAGATTCAAAGAAGATAAAACTTTTTCTGTGAATGGGGGGGGGGATTTTGTGACATTATCTATAAATAAAATAACATTGATGGTGTTAACTTAGCTAATGGTGACTAACTTTATGTATATGAAATGAATGGTTTGGACTGGTTGCAGGGTTAGATGTGGCAGTTGATTGGTATGTTTTGATGCTGCTGTATAGTAAATGTTAGTCATCTTGCTGTATAAAGACTGACTCAAAGTCTAAACAATGTCATAGTTATTGGCTTACATAGGAACACTGACTAAAATCAGGTCATTTACAGCACTGGACACTGTACGACACTGTAATGAGATAACTGACCGTGTTAACTTTACTCCAAGCTTACACAACTTTGACTGTATTCTAGTAAATGTTAGACAGCTTATGTTTAGCTGATCTCATCCGGTCACTTGTTATGAGATTCTTACCTTTGTAGTCATGCAGGTAATTCTCAAAGAAAAGCTTGTAGCTTTTGTCAGCCTTGTTCTTCTTTGTAAATAAAAACTGCTTCACCAAAGAACGACATCTCGACAAAAAAGTAGGTAAAATACCTGAGGACATAAAAATGAGTAAATCCTTTATGTTCTCATTTGTAAACGCCGTCTGTGATATTTTCCCTGCTGTGACAAATTCAGCTGTGTCAAATCCAGAAGTGAAAACAGACTTGAAGTGTAACGGCTGTGTGCTCACATTTTATGTGCCCATGTTCAGAGGTGGGAAGAGTAGCCAAAAATTGTTCTCAGGTACAAGTATTGTTACTGTGAAATAAGAAGTACTAAGTTGAACTAAAAACAGTCGTCCAAATAATTACTAAGAGGAATAAGAGTTAGTGAGTTACTTCACTGGATAAACATGCATATGCAGATCCCCACACTTATACATGTGTGCGTTAGTTTCAAAATGAAATTCGCAGGCAGAAACCGAATCTTAACAATACTACTGACCATTGAGCAAGAATAAGCATATAATGTACCAACCAACTAACACACTCATATAAACATTAGTGCGAGAAGAGTTAAATTGTTCCTGCCTTTATAAAATTGACTCACATGGGAGCACTTAAATTCACAAGTGTCTTTACTTCAGATTGAGTTTATTTTAAAAATGACTAAAAAAGAAGAATTAATAATTAATGTAGAGCATCAGGACCCACCTCTGCCATGTGTACATGAAAGAATGTTAGTTCAAACAGTCAAAACAATGGGATTGCACATATTAGAAGTTTTCCCACTTTAAAATAATTCTACACTGCAGACATTTAGATCATTTTGTTAACTAATGAAACATGCCTCATTGCAACACATTGTGGATAATGTCCAATAGCACCTCCAAGATATTAGTATAAATAGAACACAAAAAGAGTCTAAACCTGATCCATTAAAATATGCCTGGATCAGCTCTGATCAGCTTGGGAAATCCCTCTAAATCAGTGTCATGGTATTATTCATAAAACTATCCATTTCAGTGAAGTTTTTAAAGAATGAGAGCAGTGCCAAATTGTGAATTGTAGTTATTGGCTATAAAACTAGTATTTGATTGATAATGATAATAATAAGTACATTTCCCCATTATGTTTGAAAGAAACAGTGTGATATGCAAGTTTGAGAATCATAAGAGTTTTTTTTGTTTGTGTTGTTTTTCCTCTTGCGAACGCTGCACTGTTGCTTGTGGCCAGTAAGAGAGAGAGCAGAAAGGCTGCACAGGTCGCCATCTGAAATAATAAAGCTGTCATCTGTCACTGCCCCCAGTATGTGTGTGTGACACAGGCAGAGAGGGAGGGAGATTTACTGGGCGCTTGAGATTAAACCATGTAGCCCAAGTCAGAACTGCTAGCTGTATTAAAGAGCAGCACTTGTCCTGTGATGAGTTCCTAAGAACACACACACGCACATGCCCAGACAGTATGAAACGTCATACCGAGACTGACCACACAGTCCTTGCACCACACACAATCTCTCTCACTCTCACACTTCACTGACACACCCAGTCCTTACATACCCCTCTTCTCTTTCCCCATATCGCTGCCTCTCACCCATCAGCACCATACATAGCGTACATCGTGTTTATTCATCCCTCTCTTTCTGTAACGCTCATGTTTGGCTGCGTACTGATTTGCCCTGGCATATAAATAAACAGTGTGATACCTTGTCATAGTTCCACTTTCACGAGTTCAGGCGGCGGCCAATACCATGGACTGCAATCACAGGAGATTTATTTTACAAGGCTTATAAATAAATCTATGTAGTTGTGTACAGATTAGACAGGTGTAAGAGGAAGGGGGTGGAACTTATTTGTGCTTGACTTCATTTGACATTTTTAGATTTTATGCATGTGTAATAGCACTCCATTTTAAATGACAAATAAATTAACACTAATTTTTTCCAAAATTCAGGAAAGTGGTTCAGTTCACACGAAGTGTCTTCTCCCAGCAATATAGTGAGGACGTCCAACATGCGGCATGTGGCCAGGTGAGTTTGTAAAGTGAAAATACGCTACCTAACTAAAATCCCAGATATTCCCTAAAGTACCTAAAGGTTTTAACTGTACCAAATGGGCATACGGTAAGTTCTAAGGTGGGTAGGTCAGTGCTGAGGACGTCCGACTAACAATCAGAGACTCGTTAGTTCAGTTATAGGAGAAATGAGGGGTTTATCTCAAGGACCAGTTTTCTGTCTATTGTCAGTCTGGTACACACTTGAAAAAGATGGTTCTTTAGTAAAGGCCATCATTCTATTAAGACACATTAGTTCTGGGCAGAACTATTTCATGCTTAAATGGTTCTTCGCATGGAGAAATAGTTCTTTAGATTAATGAAAAATGTGCTGTATGAGGTTTTACATAGAACCTTTATGTTAAATGGTTTTATATAGCACCAAAAAGGTTTCTGCTATTGTGACAATGTCAAGCTTGTAACAATAGACTATATATATATCCATTCAACAATATACACATTAAAATAGCAGTTCTTACTCACCCTTAGGTTTTCATGGGACCCTGGTTCATGTCTCTAGTCAATACAGCCTTGAACATGTGTTAAGATAAAAAAATATGTATTTTATATGATTTGTGAATGTAATAAACTAGATTAAGGTCATATGTTACTCCTTCAACCTGTCAATATTCCTTTCTTCAGTCGGGCGGTGCAGAGAAGTCTGGCCATCATCCGGCAAGCTCGGCAGAAGAAGCAACACGCCAAACAGTACTGCATGTACTACAACCGCTTTGGCAAGTGTAACCGTGGCAACGCCTGCCCCTACATCCATGATCCTGATAAGGTGGCTGTTTGCACCAGGTACTTATTATATATGAACACATGTACATACACAGATATTGCATACAGATTTTAAAACTAGTGTTGCTTTTTAATTTTATTTTTTTTCCTTATCTATTTGTCTTCTTTGTTTTTGTTTTGGTTTTTTTTTATGGTCTATTTTTATTATCCTTTCCTTTTAGTGCCTGTTTGACTATTTGTGTTTTTGTGATATTTAATGTAAAGAATAATATTTTTTATTTTTGCATTAATTGACTAGTGTTCTTATATTTATTTGATATCTTACTGTAGTATAATCTTAAATATCTCTTTGTGTATGCTGTTATGAAGTGCTTTGGAATTAGCTGAACAGTGTGTCAAATCTAATGATTGACCTACAGGTTTCTCAGAGGCACATGTAAGCAGACAGATGGGACATGTCCTTTCTCACACAAGGTGTCCAAAGAAAAGGTGGGTCATCATTCACTACCTTAGGGATGGCTTGATATCAAAAACATTGAGGCACCTCCTCTGTTTCTTCCATGCCTAGAAAAAAAGAAAGAAATCTGGATGTTGGAGGTAAATAAAATAGCGTGTCCAAGGCCAAGATGTTCGTAGTAAAGCATCTTGCTTGTAGTAAAGACTGCTGCAATTCCAGTTCACGTAGGGACGAGGGTCCATGTATCACTGAAATTATAATGGAACATAATTATGCACTTAAACATGCACATATCATGTGCAGACTGTAGCTGCTAACCTGTGCTCTGCAAGTTTACAAGAAAAAGCAGTGAGTGGCCTGTGGCACTGGAGTCAGGTTAAGGTCAGTACATGCTCGCCTGCCGGGTGATAATTTAAGATCTTCTGGCAGATTATGAACTTCTGATCTCAGCTTATGATGGTGTATTATGATCTATCTATAAGATTGGCCCATCAGGTTCCCATGTCGCATACTTGGCAGCCGTCACCTTGGTGGTGGGAGCCGTGGAGACAAGGGGGGAGGATCAGTATTGAGGGCAAAGTGTGACTTGGGAGTGTCATGTTAGTCTAGGCCCAGAAACAAGATGTTCCTTTCCTGACACAAACACACATCTGGGCATGTGCACAGACACTGTCTTCATCTTTTATGGACATGGGTTTTAATTCCATAGCTTGTTATGGAGGTCTGTCCTCATTGTTACATGCCCTGGAGAAAATTCTTGACACATTCCACCTCAGAAATTAAAATTCTGCAAGCCTGTATGTCGTCTGTATGTCTATGTCAGTTTTGGTGTCGCATTATGGCATTAATAATGGCACTAATAATAAGCACTAGTTAGAAGCCAGGCCTCCCACTTTATGAATGTTAAACCCACAGACCCCACTGTAGCTATGTCCCTGGTGTATACATAAAGACCAAGCTCATCAAGCTCATGACATCACATATAGCTTTAACTCCGGGAGGAAGTCCAAGGGAGAGAGTGGCTGCTTTTCAAATACAAGAATAAAGTTTGCATTCTGGCTTAGGCCACAATCCGAAGATTTCCCCTAAGACTTCCTTCACTTGCTGAGGGGTGGACACCTGTCTTCCTTGTTGTTTGTCTGGTAGAAAATAGCTCTCCCACTGAGACTCTTCACTTTCCTTAAGAATCCACACACACACACAAGCACTTGTTTAGACTTTTGCTCATGTTGCGTCCAGTGGCGCACCCCCCCCTTCTCTCGCTACACTAATGCTCACTCTCGCTCTCGCACCCGCTGCACCTGTGACAGTCGTCATGGTCTCCCCCGCCAAGCGCTGAGAGGCCAGCTGCCTGCTTGTCTTAAAGGAGCAATGCCACCTCCTTGTGGGCCCCACCTGTCCACCATCGTAACCCCCTTCCTCCCTCCCCTCGCTCTCCAACTGAATTTAACCCTACTCCTTATTTCACGTGTATATTCCATGAAGCATGGCTTGAGTTTGTGCCTGAAACTGAAACCAGTCCTGTACATCTCCCAACACCCCATGTAATGCCTGAAACAAGACCCCCTCCCCAAGTCTGCAGACTGCCCAGGCCCCTCCCCTGCACATAAACACATCATGGGCACCGTACAAGCCCCTGCTTGGGTAAATATTTCTGTAGCAGTTAATTAGACAGAAATGATATGACCCCCATCGAGATGAGATTCCACTTAAGGAGGCTCCAGTTTCCCCTCCCTCTTCTCTCAACCCCGCCCCCCCCACTATACAGCATCTAAACCCCCTATGTTCTATTTCAAGCCTAAAGAACACTCAATCACGCACATGCACGCATAGTCACATTACGATTATTCATGCATGCAGATAATATTCACAAAGTTAGGGTCTGCAAACTGCATGCATAACTATGTCATTGACACATGTACATAAGATTATACATACAGATTATAAATGTGAATGCATGTACCCAATATTCGATAATACATATTTTGAGAAGCGCTTGAAGTGGGCTCTATAGCAGGCATGTATTATATGTTACAGACATGCTTGCAAATGCCCCAACTGCAATCTTCCTGCAGCAGTCACATCCTGCACCCTCTGGTATCCCAAAGAAGTGGTGACAGAGTAACAAAGGCTGGTTGTAGACTTGCGTATTAGCTGAACATCTTTGTAGCCTCTTACTGGCGCGTTGTGACTTAAACTTTCAGATTTGCTATACTGACAGGGCAATAAATCAGAATATTAAAGGAATAGTTTGGTGAAAAATCAAAGTTATCAGATTTCCCTCCACCCCAATTGTAGCTGATCTGCCAACACGTGTTTGGAGTCTGAAGTTTCCTTCTTTGCTTTTGGACTAGAGCTGTGAGCCTGATGTAGCTAACAAGGAGTAGGAACCTTTACCCTGCTAATTAGCATTGTGCAAACTACATACCTAAATCATCATAAGCTTGCTTTAAGCTGTACCGTTAAGTAATCTGAGATAAACTTTGTGGTTATGTGGTTTCTGAGAATGATTGATGTATGGCGCTGAGCAAAAATCAGAGACAGTCCTTTTTCATTTAATCTCTAGTTAAAACGGTCATTAAGTACAAGTTATAAGTTTTTCAGCATCAGAAAAAAACGGAAAACGTCTATTTCATGATTCAGAATCCTCAACAACTAAATATAATACGACCTTTTTAAGTATTTAGTGTGTCCATCCCTGGGTTATTATATTTTTGAAACCTCTATTAGTTTTTAGTTTTATTTAGTTTTATATTTTGTTTTTTGATTTCAGTTTAGTTTCAGTTTGTTTTAAGGGGGTGTTAATAGTTTTAGTTTTGCTTTTATTTTCTGCAAAGTAATAGTTTTAGTTTAGTTTTTATTTAGTTTCAGTTTTAGTTTTAGTATTATGATGAATGCTGTGATGGTAGGTATTCATGTGAAAGTATAGAATAAAATAAAAATGAACTGAGCTCTGCTCCAGCTTTCATGAAAGATAGCCGAACTCTGAGAGGATCCAATTCTAAACTCCCATGCACTGAAAAAAACGAACACTGAAGGTTTTGTCTCAGTATTTTTTTTTATGTTGATTTAGTTTTCATGTTTTGAAAACTGTCATTTTTATTACAGTTAACAAGCACCGTATTTCACTTCTAGTTTTTGTTTAATAATGGTTTTATTTAACTATAATGACCCTGGTCCACCCTTTGCATTTATTACAGCTTTCTTTAAGGGGACTTTTTTCAAAGAAATGTGCAGGGATGTTTTTCCACGCTCCCTTAGAAGCTGGCTGCTTCTCATGTCCAAGGAATCCAAGTAATCCCAAACACATTTAGTGATGTTAGGGCTTGGGGTCTTGACTCTGGGGTGGCTAGTCCATTGTTCTGACACCCATTTTTTTTGTTTCTTTTCTCAGTAACAGCTTCTTGATAGTCTCACATCCTTTCAGACTCATAGTGTTGTCTCCTCACATTGGAAGGATGGACAGAAATAGCTGATTTTTTTCAGATCTGACGATTGAGTGGAGCAAGATTTTCTCCTCTCTCTCAAAGATAAAAGCTGTTTAGATGAAAACTACTCATGGTTACACTTTTGGTGGTCTACCAGGTTTTGCACTGTTGTTAGAAGGAATCCAATTCATTCCTGTAACAAATTGTGTGATGTGATGTTGACTGTTTTTCCTGTGGGGTGGTAGAGTGTTTGAGTAGCTTGAGTATGATAGTCTACTTTTAGATGCTCATCTTAAGTGAAGTGCTTCAATTATAAATGTGCCTTGTAGGAAATTTGAAGATGCAAACTTGGCTTGGTTGGTAGACTACATTTTTGAGATAATGTGAGAATTGTGAAAATTTTATGTTGCACCAAACTGTTCCTTTAAATACACATATTTAATAACCACAACATATCATTTAATTCTATTTTTGGAGCAGCCACAAAGTAATCTCTTAATATTCTTGTCTCTCTCTTCAGATGCCTGTATGTTCATACTTCTTGAAGGGAATTTGTAACAACAGTAGCTGCCCCTATAGCCATGTCTATGTATCTCGCAAAGCAGCAGTGTGTCAAGACTTCATCAGAGGCTACTGTCCTCAGGGAGAGAAGGTAACCCACTCACTCAACACTGCAGCATGTCCAACTCTCAACACGCTCGCATTCGCACAAGTGCTCGTTTTACACAAACACACATACACACTGGCTTAAACGGTGCCTATTATGGAATGGGTTAAACCCCATTAGAGTTTAGTGCGTTGTACACTGAAAAAGGGTGGTGTTTAGCTTGCTTCTATGCTTTTGTACAGTTTGTTGCTTGTATATTGCAGCATTTGATTATATAATTGCTGTATTGATAACATTTTGCTACATTTTACACTGTATTATGATATATAACCACTGGAGTTGTTAGCTGTTTTCTGTTAATGCTTTATTACAGTCTTATTTGTCTGTATTAAGAACTATATTAGTTTTATACTGTAGTCCTAAAGCAAAGGTTTATGTAAGGTTAAGGATGCTGACCTTAAGCCCTCATCAGGGTCGCATGGGTTAGGGTTAGGTCTCCATGGAGTCTTTGAATGACGGACAAATTGAGGGTGTAAACTCGAGATGACCACATGACCCTTCCATCTGCCAGCCCAGCAGCTCCTGTCATACGCCTTCAGTCCAGCTCCCCCTTATAGCAAAAATCAACAGTATAAACAGTCGCTTAGGGCCCCTGAGCTACAAGGGGCCCAAGGGTGGTGGTATTATTATTATTCTTATTATTATTATTATTATTATCATTGTTATTATATCAGCACCAATAAAACAACAACAATAATAATATTTAGCAAAATTATTATTTAGTGTCTGTTATGATATTGGCAGAAAATATCTTGTATTTAAATATTTCATTTTAATTATTTATATTTTCACAGACAGTTTAGGATGAAATATTGTGTCCCTGTTTTTGTATTTACTTGTTTTATTGTGTTTACATCACCATTTATTAATCTTTGTGCCTAATTTGAAATGAATGAAAAATGATTAAATTTTAATTTAATACAAACTAATATGATTCCAGCAGGTTATGGGGGTTATATTGCTCACATAAAGCATAAATAGTTTGAAAATTTTGAATGTTATGGCTCCTCAGCTTTACATTTCTGTTTTGTTCTGCATTTATGGGAATCATGTGGTTTTCTTCGCTGAGGTATTTAGACCTTTGAGTCCATATTGTCCAATAGGAGCCTATCGGATACAGTTGTGTGCTAGTGTTCTCAGGATGGCTCTTTTTCTGTGCTGTATGGGAAGCTTTTCATACTAACTCGATTTTAAATGTTTTACAACATTCAAAGAAGTATACAGACCTATCAATGGAAGAAAATCCGTAATGTAATTGTTACCGTTTTTTTTGTATCCTGATTACGTTTTCCATTATTACCTCACTCTGACTATATAGAACTCTCTTTGCTGGTATGCACTGGTACTTTCATCTCTTATTTTCACCGATTGCTTAACATTGTGTCTGACTGTAGCTCTTCATAGTACAGTGACCTCTGCACACCCATTCTAAGAGTGAACTCCACTAGCATGGGTGTTTAGAGGCTAATTATCACACACGATTACACAATGTTACTTGAAGTGTTTGTTGAAATGAAATGGCTTTGTGATGTTCTGCCTCAAGACGTTTTTTCCTTTCACGTTTTCTTCTTCTCACTCTGTTTTGTTTCCACCATCACCCCTTTTTATCTCTGTCCCTTTTTTCCTCACCCCTTCTCCATTTGTTCATCTTTTGCTTTTTCTTCCATCGTAACAAATGCATTCTCTAGCTGTCAGCGCTCATTTAAATATTTGGGGTGAGAATGCGAATATATAAAGAGAGATATTAATATTTATTCTATTAGCTGAAGTGCTTAGGTCTGTAATTTTGCGCCGTCCCAAAAGCACTGTCTCAGATATGATGGATAGCATGCCATAATTATGGACGTGAAAAAGTGCTGATGACTGCAGTACAGGCGAGAGGCCAGCGATGGATATGCCAGCGGAGCAAGGGTTAAAGCGCACTCTCATCCTCTCCATTTCTCTCCCCCTCTTTTTTTTCACTCCATCTCTCTTCTCCTGCCTTGCTCTCACCATCTGTCTCTCTGTCTGAAGCTCACACTGTCTACCACTCGGCCTTTCTAGCTTCTCTTACGCTTTTCCTCTCCATCTCCATCATTCTTTCCCTCTTCTTTTTCTCTTACCATGGATCTCTTTCTCTCCATACTCTCATTCTGTCTTTCCTGTCCTGTTTTCATTGCTTGTGTTGCATACTCTCTCTCTCCCTCTCTCTCTCTTTCTCTCTCGCCTGCTCTCTCTCTCGCTCTGTAATGTAACATTGTAAAATGTGCTGACTCGTTCTGCTTTGTGGCCAGTAGAAAGCTCTTCTAATAGGCCCCAGAGACTTTCCAGCCTTCTTTAAATCAAGTGGAAAATTGTTAACTTGTGCTGGTATAAAGATGTTCCATCCACTTCTCCTTTTTTTCATGCATCTCCTTTTCCCCTCTCTTTCACCGCTTTTATGTAAATGAAAATGTATGGGCGAGCTGGGTTGGCTCAGGCGCGGCCTTTCATGTGTTTTCTTTGCTGAAAGAGGCAGCTATTCACATCACAGTTAATGAACCTTCTCTTAGTGTCCACCTAACAACAACCTTATTCTTTCCCATTACTTCACCGCCTGCTTCAGGAGATGCTCTCCATGGGACAGAAATGCTACTTTGTTGAACAAGGGATAGGCAATGTGACAGTTTATCATGTCATAATATATAATGATAAATTGTCACAGTAATTAGCATATTGTGGATCAGTTTTAAAGAGCATTGACCAACTCCATGTTTCATTAACAAAAGAGCATAATTGGCCCTGTTTAACTGGATTTAGTGCAGTGCTCCTTGTGAAACAGGGTGCAATGGTAGTGGACAATATTTAAATTTGCGGCAAGCCGCAAATAAACACAGATAAGGCTACGTACATAGATGCAAAACATGCTAATTCCATTACCTTTCGTGTAGTGAGTTGCAGTCTGAGTTAAGTTAGTCTGGTTTGTTTTCGAAAGAGCAGACATCAGAATGTAATGAGTTAATGAGTAGTAGGGAAAAGAGAGTGGAAGGAAAAGCTGGTGTCTTGGCCAGTTGGAGACTAGCCAGCTTTCCATGCGCACCACCTACGACACCCCTCACTCAGCCAGCTGCTTCAGGTGATGCAGCAGTCTCGGCCTAGAAGCTGAGTGGCTCCGCAGCTTCTCAGCTTATACTGATAGAGTGATTGGTTTGGAATATTCACCAGATTCCAGTGGTGTCTTGATGACTACAGATGAAAGCTTGAGTGTAAGTTCCATTTTCGCCACTGTATGTTTTACATGCACTCACCTTTATCTCATTAGAGTTAGCCAGCAATAATGACATCTGCCTGTATAATGTTTGTTTCTCTTTTTACTCTTCTCCTAATAAAAATATTTCTGATTTACTTCAGGTGCTAAAAATGGTTCTCAATAAAAGCGAAGGGACATCCCAGAATAATGTGCCATTTTATCTACAAAATAGTTTTACTTAAGCATCCAAAATGGTTTTATTTGGGAAAAAAACATATACACATTACACAAATTCATGATATATACTGATATTATCAGTAATCATATTTATACTGTGATATAAATTTTTGGCCACGACGACCCACTACTACACTGAATAAAAAGTATTGTAGTGGTTTTTGGTAGCATTTTTAAATGTTGCACTACTAGTGCATTCTTTCTGTTCCAACTTATTAAACCTCAGAAAAACGAAATATCATGATACATATTGGCCTTTATTCATCAAAAATGCATAGGCTCAAACCGATTGCAAAACGAGTGCTGGATTTCACACACTGTAGCTGATAGCTCTAAAGCTTATGTCACTGTATGTTTCCACATCTTTTTATGCAACTTTGATGAATATGGGCCATTGTAAAAATGTCTTCAAGTATTATGATGTTTTATTTGTCCACCCCTCAGTGACCTGAGAGGCCAATGATAGAACAGAGTTCCAAAGTCTGATCCCTGATGGATGCCATTAACATAGCTCCTGTTGTGTGCTTTACTGTGTGTACTGCCCCAAAACCAGAAATGTTAAAAAGCATTTTAAGTGATAGTTTGAAACAAAAAAAAAAGAATTCTTGCAATTTTCACCTTCCCACAAATGATGTGAGACAGCCAGGACATGTTTGGTGTTCAAGGTTTGCTTCCAGAGCTCCTGTATTCTGCATTAACCAATTTTTTTTTCTCCATAGCATCTAAATACCTGAATTAAGAGAGCCTACACCATGCTGTGAAAGTGGAATTAAAGGAAAATACCAAATGTACAAAGTTTTCTCCTGACCCCAATTACAGTCTATTATTCAAAACACGTTTGATGTCTGAAAATTGCTTCTTACGTTTTTCTTTGAATCTACACACGGTAATTTGTCTAGCATGTAAAGGACAATTATACCCCACCAGTTAACATCATGCAAACTGTTTGCCTAAACCATCACACACTTGCTTCCATCTGCATAACCTCAAATAGAATGTTTATCTTGTTTTTAACACTGTATGACATGTTGTTATCCATATAAATGGATGAAAGTACTTTGCATAGATAAGAACAGCAGTAGCAGCTGCCTGAAAGCCTGTTTTTTCAATGTACTTTGTCCTATAAATAACTCATAAGTCTATTTGAGATTACTCAGCTCTGCTTAGTTTGAGGCAAATGTGTAATGATTTAGGTTTTGCAGTTTGCACAAAGCTAATTGTTGGTAAAAGGTTCCATTACGTGTTAGCTATGTTAGCCCCTTAGCTTCAGTGCAAAAGCAAGAAGAGAATTTAAGATACCAAACGTTTTGATAATTGACTGCATTTGGGGAAAGAAAACCTTGTAAATTTGAATTTCCTTTTAAATCCACCTTCACAACAGGGTATAGGCTTTATCATTTCAGTTATTTAGCTGCTAGGGAGATTGGATTGTGGTCAGTGCTGAATACAGAAGGGGGTTTGCCGTCATGCCCTGCTTCAGAGCTCTGGATGAGTGACGCTCTAGATCAACATTATCAGTCAAACTAGAAACAAATGGGTGTTGAAAAAAACAAAAAGGACCCAAATGCTCCTCAGAGATGAGGTGAAATTGGAATCGACTGAGCTCAAGTGGAGAAGGATTTAGCAAATTGGAGCAATTAGCCACGAGGGTGGTGAGTGATGATGTTGTCTATAGGATGATGTAGGGGGTATTAGGAAGCAGGACTCAGAGGCTGCGATAATCTTGTCCCATGAGACCCTCTGTGCGTGTATGTATGTGTGCGTGTGCGTATGGGGATGCATGTTGCCGTGTGTATGCTTTGCTTAAGAAATTACTTTTTTGGTTTCAGAACTTTATGTTCTTTAAAGGTATAATGATATGCAGGGCCATTATCTGTCTTTTATTCATTTAGCAGTAAAGAAGACTATATTGCATGCATGGCATAGTCCTGATCTGCCATTATTGATCATATGGATTTCTATGCCATTGAATGTTTCTCTTCTTGAGGAATCATTTAAAAGAAGAGCAAGAAACAAAAGCATCCTGCAGAATCATTCTCAAATTGAAGAGAATTCTTTTAATTGTCCCAGAATAATTGTACAAAAAATCCAGATTCTTAGTACTCAGAATCAAGACTGTCACGATTACTCACATGATTCTACTGAAATCAATTACTTGATTACAAAAATTAATGTGTTAAAATGTGTTGATGAATCTGCTTAGTTTTTGTTTGATGAGTATCCTTCAAATTGCAAACTAAAGAACTATTGCAAACTGTTCACTGGTCATTGTAAAGCCATATTTAGCAGTCTGAGGATTCTCCACAAGGGAAATTATTAGCACTCAGTTCACATTTGCGAGCATCACTGGAAAAGAGGAACCCACACCAACAGAATCTCGCTAATTCACAAATGTTTGTAGTTACAAATTGTGTGTATATGAAGTAAAATGTTTTGTTTAGTTAGGTCTAGGGTGAACAGCTAACAGGCTATCAGCCACATGAATGTGTGTTACAAACATCAAATGCTTCAAGTGGAATGTTTAAGCAGAGATGGCCTAAGTAGTACTAAAGGGGAATTCCACAGGCTTTTCAAAATTTGATGTGAAATAATTCATTTGTAGAGACTCTTTACAGGGTGGAGCCAGAGGCCCCAATGTCTACAATGCAAATACAGCCATTTTATGTACTATCTAAAACTATCAGTGAATCTACACGTCTTTTGAGTTTTTACATGTTGATGATGGTAAAATAGTGGTAAATCTGAAAGAAAAAGTTTTCTTTTGGGGCTATTTTGCCTTACAACACCCTGCATTTACCCCTCCACCTTGAATCGATAAAATACATTGATTTAAATATGTTTTCGTTGTCTTTGCCACATAACTACCGTAAAACAGGATCTCAGACATTAGGCTGAGTATTTATAACCATTTAATGTAATAACTTTATATGTGGGAGCTTGCAGAGGTGAATTTCTGGTTCCCATCACTACCGCTGTATCATTGCGGACAGTTCAGATTCTAAGATTCTCTAGAATGGAGCATTTCACATGAAAGCACTCTGAATGACTGTGTTAAGTTAACGGGAGTTCTTTAATTCTGTACTGGAAGTGAATGTACATGTATCTTGGCACTAAAAGTGCTGGCTTATAAAGTGGAAGTTCTGCATTAAACTCTGATGCATTATGATCCATGAAGTAGAGGAAAGCTAAAATGTTATTAAAGGTTGCATAGGAGGAGCTAGTTCAGAGACAGACGCATGTAAGAGAAATGACTGGCCAACGCATTGCAAATGCAGGGTCCTGTTGTATAAACTCACCATGCGTTCTTACGTAAGTATAGCAGTTAAAGAAACACGCAGTGCTCAGTACAGAGGACAAGTCAAAGCTTCTGTAAATTAAATCTACTCTTATTCCAGCATTTGTTTTAAATGAAAAAGAAACAAAAGTGAACAGGCTACCTTCCTCATCAAAAAGGACTTATAAAGTGCTGAAGCCAGGTTTGTATTTGTACTGTCCAAACTTTTTTTTGTACTTTAAATGAAAAAGATAATGTATGAAATAACAGCATAAATATAAATTATAGAATATGAAAGGAGGGACCCAATACACTAGACATATGCTAGCCTGACCAAATGTGTTTTTAATTTGGATTTAAAAACAACTTCCGAACTTGCATTTCTAATGTTCTCAAGCATACTGTTTCAGAGTTTAGGTGCTACATAAAAAAATAGTCTTTGCTGCTTTGCTATGTGTTTAATGGAGTGCCTGTCTTATGGCTAAATAACTATCAGCGCAGTTACTAGGCGGGACACTAGACTGGACTCTGGGCTTGTATAGGTGTATAAAGCAGTGTGTGTTGGGGTTTGGGGGGCGGGGTTTGGGGTTATGGCTGCAGGAGCTGGAGATTTCGGTCTGTGTGGAGAGCATTACCAGACTGCTTGCTCTACAGGGTGACGGAGAGTCCACACTGTTCCCGGAAACACGATCTTATAGCTGCTCCCCCCCAACACACACACATTTACTTGCTCTATTTCAAGAGCAACCTGCTCCACATGCACTCTCTATCTTCTCACACACACACATACGTCTTGCGGCCCTCACCCCATAGTGGGTATAATTAGCTTTTCTGACAGGTGGAAAGGATCCGATCTCCTGAAGAATGAAGCTACCAATTTACGCCCATATTACACAGGCACACGCACTCTCTCACCTACTCTCACTCGCTCACTCAGTCGCTTTCCTTTTCTCACAGGCGCGCACACACACACATAAACATATACCCCATTTGCTTTAACTTCTGTAACACATGTACACCATCCAAAACACAAACTCTCATATTGCCCGTAAATATAAATATAAAAATAAAAATAAAATTCTCCTAAATAGTAACTTTAATGTATGGTCTTGTAATAAGAATTTATTCCAATGACTTTTTGGGCCGTTTCTATTGGTCCATTCATCATGTGTAGTTCACAGAATGTAAAGGACTTATGAGGTTATGAGTTATGGTGTTGGAGTTATGGAGTTATGAGATTTTGATATGACAGTGACAATGTGTACTATCAGTGGAGACCATTAATGAAAAATTGCTTACCACAATGATGATGGCATAGTAGTGACAAATGCGTTTTCCCCATAGTGTAAGAAGAAACACACTCTTGTGTGTCCGGAGTTCTCCAGCACTGGTGTGTGTCCCAAAGGGTCGAAGTGTAAACTACAGCACAGGCAGAGAGCTAAGCGCACTGGATCCAGCCTCAGCTCGGCCACAGCCAAAAAAGCCCGCACCAGGGACTCCATGAAGAGGTTGGGACAGCACCAATATCCACCATCCACCACAACTCAGCGCTTTTAACACTGCTGCCATTTCCTTTTTTGATAATTAAAACCTCAAATATGTGGAATATAATGTTATTTTAGCATCACACCCTCACAACAGACAATGATATATATATTGCATGTTTTGTGTAATGCCATATTTCACCTCTGTGTTCAGTCCAGAGCCAAGCTCCACTCAGGCAGATGAGAGCACCCCTAGTTCAGGCCTTGCGAAGCTGCCCTCCTTCATCTCTCTGTCCAGTTCCCCAGACACCCCAGAGGCCGCTGATAGCCCCGAATGCACTACTGTAGCAGGAGTAGAGGCCACAGGTGAGATTCAGCTATATGCAATTATTATTATGATGAAAAATATCTCGTAGTATTCAGAGTTTATCAGCTCTTCCCCTCTCTTTTCAACTGAATAGTACATTTGTTAATCATGCAGTTTCATGATTAACAAATGAGTATTTTCGCATGTAGCCTATGTGCTCTGTGCTGACATAAGTAACATAGTGCACTCAGGGGGTATCATGGTATAGCCCTTGTAAAAAGAGGCATTAACATACAATAATTCAAGTAGTGGCGGGTAATGTAAAACACAAAAATGTGTTGCAGTTGAAAAGAAAGGATGCTGATTTTAGGGAAAGGTGTAAATTATGTTATGTATGGACAAATGCTGATTCTGAAATTGAATTGACCTGCCTATTTAATATCTACTTAATGCCTGGTGCGTACATATTCATTTAAAAGTATGATATGAAATTGTGAACCCCTTTAAAGTAATCTGAAATCGGTTCAGCAAGTGTTGAATTTGTGAACTACCAGCCTGACTGTGGATTTTAGAATTTTTTTTGTACCCGTTTGCAATCTTCTGTGCTTCAAAACTGTGTATTTGAGCAGTTTTTTTTTTTCATTAATTTTTTACACTAGAATTGAGTAGAAAACATTTTCCAAGTCATTATCCTATTAAATATGGATATGACACTTTTGTTTTGTTTGTTTATTTATTATTATGGCCAAAATTGTTTTAGGTGCACTTCCCAGAGCAAATTGAGATCATTCCTAAGGTTCCTAAAGGTTCATAATTGTCATAATTGTCACAACGTTCACAGCTTCTCACAACTGTATTTAAGATTTAGGTTGGAGATGAGGTATAACTCATAGGGAACTGCATTTAAAAGAGAATAATATTCAGAGAAGGAGGTAATAAAATTTAGGAATAAGGTAGAAAGGGAATAGGTGGGTATAGGGCTGGTTTACCAGACCCAGTTTAAGCTTAATTCTAGACTCAAAGTATTTTTTAATGGTAAATTAAAATTACCACTGATGTTATGATTTAGTCCTAGTCTATGCTTAATCCATGTCCATGAAACACGGCTTAATGCTTAGGGTGGGAGCTAATGATATTTCAGAATAGATAGGGAGGGTCAGTATAATGCTTAAGGAAAGGGGGTAATAATATTTAGGTTTGTTATGGAGCATAGGCACAGCTGAAGGTGATGCTGACAGTCTGACTGATAGAGGATTAGTGCAGAGGGGCCCCATGTGTCCCACACACACACACACACACACACACATGCACAGTCATACACCAGGCACAGCTTATGGTATAGAACATTTCTAACATCAGCGCTTGCTGTATGCTGAGCATGTGTTCATCACCTTCCAATGTGTCTTTTGTGAGGACGATCTAAAATTTGTTAGAAACTTCTACTTGCAACTCTTTGCTCACTTTAGTCTTGCCTTTTTTCTCCCTCACTCTCTCTTTCTCCAGTTGTTTTTGCCACTTTCCTCTTTTAGCTCCTGTTGCTCCGAATCTATTCTCATTAACCTTTGACCTCACACTTACACACTCTCCTAACTGTCATTCACACTGTCTCCTAACCGTCATTGGTACCGTCTGGAGTCTGAGACCCCCCAACAAACACCCATTCATTTGAATCTGTTTTGTGAATATTCTAATCTCAGCATACTCAGGAACATTAAAACAGAAAATTCTAGATTTCTTGGCTTATATTTAGTGCTAGGGATGCATCTGAGCACTCAAGTACTTCAGTTAACCTTTCCAGGTGTCATTATATACCAATACTAAAAGAAAATATTTAGGGCATTGAAGTGTTATTCATTTTTATCAGTGCTATAACAGTTTTGCTAGTCTTTAAGATTAAAGTAAGTACATAATGTTGTACTTTGCTACCATAAAACACGAGTGCCTTGTAGGAGAAAGACAGAAAATTTTGCTGAAAGTCAACTATGAAGAGTATTAAACAAAAACACCTAATATAGTTTTTTTTTTGTTTTGGTTCTAGCTTATACTAGCTAGTGTAGATAGCCTAGTAGCCATACTGTCTCTGCCTTCTCAGGTCCCGTTCTCCAAGAATTATACCTCACCTTCAGGGTTCTCAATATTACCTTAACAAACTGGCATGTTAAAACATTGTCCACTGTAGAGAAGAATCTCATGTAGAAGACAAGTCATCGCTATCTACCCCTGCACTGGGTGGCGTTATGCTCTAGTGTTAGCATTGGCTCATTCGTTTATTTAAGGCAGCCTCTGTTATTCAAGCGCAGTCACCAAAATATTTGCCTGGGCTATTTTTGAATAATAAACCTAATTTCAAATGCACACCTCTGTGAGATGGTAAATTTTAATTTGGGCTACTGGCCCTGCTTGCACCAGTGCACCAGTTAACCAAGTTTGTGTATTATAATATGTTAATGTGTAGCGAACGGTCCATTATCTTCTATCCCATGCTTAACAAGAAATCTGTTCAAGTCTTCTCAGTACAGGACAGTTAAACTTGCAAACAGCTGAACAGTTTTATGTTTTTAATTACTGAGATTTTTTTAGACTGTCACTGTCCGAAGTATTTATTTTTTGTTTTTATTTTTCTACGTTATTTGAACATAGCATCCTTTATATCTTGTGAAAATTTCATGATTATTTGGGCCAATTAAAATACTCCCAAATTACTTGGAGTAAAATCTTTGCTACTGTTACTGTTTTTGAATATACATATACCACACATCTTTTTTTGTCTCACTTTACTGGTCTCGCTGTCTTTAATGGATCTTGTTACTGTCTATTATTGTTTGTGTGGAACTCATCAAGGCACATTTCAAGCAGCTCTGTTGGCATGACAGTAAATAAATATACTGAACTGTATACTATATTACATGTTCAGTTATCTCCATGCTTCACTTTCTCTTATAACCTTACTGAGAAGAGATGAGGGGCACCCAGGTTTATTTTAGTCTATATGTCTAAGCTCTTTATGTAGGGTATTGCCTGTGACACACACACGTACATTCACTTCCTCTAACACTCATCCCCGCCGTTCTCGCTGCCAAGTTGTAGTGATTTGTGTGTCCATATTAAACCGGAGAAAAGCAACATGTTACGTGAAGCCAGGCCAGTCTCTTGGAATTGCACAAGTGGCTTCCATACCTTTTCAGATACCATCAGCTGCCATTTTTACATTTAGCCGTTCTTTGAAATGTTGTGGTTCAAATACAGTATCAACCAGGTGACTGTGCTGAAGTAGCCAGTGGCTACTTATCAGTATCCTCTCCCTGAAGGAACAACACACTCTAGAGAGAACAGTCAAGTGTTAGTAATGAGTGGCCAGTCCACCTCTGTGCTTCATTAAAGTGACCTAGACAAACTGCACTCCACTTTGGATAAATTAGCTCAGACCCCATGTGTCACAGCCTGACCGTCGCTCACCCACTCTCTTCCTTCTCTCTCCCTCTCCCTCCCTTCCTCTGTGCCATGTAATTTTATTAATACTCCATTGGAATAGAATAGTTCAGTAGAATTTCGTCTCAGCCTGTCAGAATCATGAAATTTTAACTGAAAGTTACCATGTAAATAACTGCAATTAACAATTTCATAGCGTTTGGTTCATTGTATGTAGCTTCTACAGTACAAGCCTAAAGTGGCCAAATGACCTGATTAGCCATCTTGCTTCCTGGCTGATGTTTAGTAGCTTCCAGCTGACAGCAGACACAACTCGAGCTCAAATAAACTAACATCACTGACCTTTGCCCTCTAAAAGTGTTAAAGTGCAAAGTCAGAAACTACGCACTGTGACATAATTGTGTGACATAAACATTGACCAAATAATTGCAGTTGGTGATCAGATTATATAATCATTCTGACAGGGCTAATTTTATAAAAAACATACCATTGCTCCTGTAAAAAAAAACAAGTTGAAGTTAAAAAAACTTTATTGTAAATCATTTTAGATAATTAGTGTTGGTGCTTTTGCCATAAAATCAAACAAGCATTGATGTAATTGAAACATTATGGACTGTAATGTTTAAGAGATGTGTCTAATTACATTATACAGAGGACATGTTTTTGTACATAAAGTATTGTTGATGATTGAATGTTCATTACAGTTTAAATTACAGAAAACCTTCTCAGCATTCTTAGTATTTCTTGCTTACCCAGGTTTCTGTAAGCTTAGCTGGATCTAACCCTGGTGGCAGTGATGACAGAATTGCTTTTTTACCACATAAGTGGGGTGCACACACATCAGTTTTTGTTTTTTTTTCACCGATCAACACTGTGCAGCAGCAGATGAGCTATCGTTTCTGACATTACATCTACAAGGTGGACTGACAAGGTAGGAATGTCTAATAGAGTGGACAGTGAGTGTTTAAAAACTCCAGCAGCACTGCTGTTTCTGATCCACTCGTACCGGCACAACACCAATTAACACACCACCACCACCATGTCAGTGTTACTGCAGTGCTGAGAATGATCCACCATCCAAATAGTACCTGCTCTGTGAGGGTCAATAGGGGTCCTGACCACTGAAGACCAGGGTAAAAGGGGGCTAACAAAGTATGCAGAGAAACAGATGGACTACAGTCTGTAATTGTAGAACTACAAAGTGCACCTATATAGTAAGTGGAGCTGATAAAATGGGCAATGAGCGTAGAAACAAGGACATGTTATGCCTGATCGGTGTGTATGTGTGCATATATATATATATATATATATATATATATAAAAGTTGTTAACTGTTGTTGCACAGTGAGTTCACTGCATCTTTTTCAGATTTTGAGAAGCTGAAACTTATTCAGAAAGCCTGCTTCGTTAGACAGACCCGAGATCAAATACAAAAATTTTAGCATAACGTTAACACTGCAGAAAGACAGAACATATTTATATCTTTAAGCTTTTTATCCTCGACATCGCTACCTCTTTTCTATTTTTTATCCATTTTAGGTGTGTGCATTCTTTTTTGAGATACGATTAACCAGTTTCTTTTTTGCCTCACTTGAGCATCTTAGAAAAAATTATGGTATAGAAATAATTTGTTAGGGGACCCTTGGCAGCCAGGGGGCCCTAAGTAGCTGCTTATGCCACTTATTAGGTAGAGCCAGCTCTGGTCCTCCTAACAAAAGCTGTTACCAAAGGTGTCGCTGACACTGTTACTCTTCAAACAGACACTAATATTCACACGAGTACCTACCCAAAAACACCGTAGCTGCCTTCCAGATTGGAGGTGTGGAAAAGTATGCAGATTTTTTTGAAAAGCTGAAAGCAAGTCCCGAAAAAGAATGAAAGCTGGGATAAAGGCAAAGAGTGGACACACTAAATACTCAAAAATGTGTTATTATATTTAGTTGTTGAGGCTTTTATGTAATTTTCTGTTTGATATGTTTTTTCTGTTACTAAAAAAATTAACAACTAGTACCTTACAACTGTTTTGACTGTAAATCAAATAAATGAAAGGTCGGTCTCTGACTTTTGCAAAGTACTGTATATGTACTCTTTATTGCTTTATTGTTCTCTCTTTACTGCTTTTCTCCTCCTTTACTCTTTTTTTTGCTTATTTGTACGTTCTTTTCTCTCTCTCTCTCTCTCTCTCTCTCTCTCTCTCTCTCTCTCTCTCTCTCTCTCCTCTCTCTTCTCTCCTCTCTCCTCTCTCAATTTCACTTTCCACAAACTGTCTCACTTTCCACTCCCTGCTTTCCTCACTCACTCTGCTTTCATCTCACCCCTTTCTCTGGGGTCCTTGCACTCACTCAGTCTCAAGTCTGAAGTCACACGTTGGTGTTGTCACTCATGAGTCACTGCGATCAGGGATTTCATTACACTGATTCCTTTCATTGCTCTGGTTTGTGTCACATTTCTTACATTTGTTGTATTAATATTTTATTTCTTGTTCAGTTTCACATGGCAGCCGCACATTTGGCACAGGCCTCATATGAATCAGAACTACTACTGAACATAAAGAAATGATGCATAGCTGCCAGGGGTGTGAATCTCTAACCTCATATGATCAATTCAGTTACAGCCTTTGGGGGAATGCATCAGAAAATCTCAGATTTCGCTATGATTTGATTTGGTTCTGTTATTTTGGTATGACTCAATTATTTTTTTTTTCTTTAAATCAACTGAATACACAGATGCAGCTGTAGAATATACTATATTGTTGGAATAAAACCTCGTATCCCCAATAAAGGTAACTTTTAAAAAATATATACATTCTTAACTTTCAGTGTAAGTCAAGGTAAAGAAAAAAATAATAATAAAATAAATAATAATGATAAATAATATAAAAAAGAATTCCAAGTAATTTGGCAGCTGGTCTTCTGTCAAAAAATAAAAAATGGAGGTAAAATATCACAATATAAGGAAGGTGGCACATACCGTATTGAATATTGCTATAATTGATTCTAACATTCCAAAATTAATTCAGAAAATCAATCACTTTTACATCCCTGCATAGCTACACACTTATAGTTGTATGCCAAAATTTAAACATCGCCCCCCCATATCAAATTACATGTTTTGTTGATTTTCTTAGTGAAAATAACACAGAGAACACACTTAAATATGATATGTATCTGCACAGTTTATATTTCTTGCTGAGTTTAGCATATTGGAAAAAATAAAACATAAACAGGCCACATTTTATGTTTTGTTTTTTTTTCAATATGCTAAATTCAGCAAATAAACAGTAATTGTGCATTAAATTGTGCAGTGTGATCTCTGTAGAGGATGTGTTAACTAATCAACAGAATATGCCATTTAACTGTGGTGCCCAAGCTTTTGCCTGTTGGCTGTACATGCTTGGGAGGGACACATTTCTTCTTCCATGGCGCACGCTTTCTCTCTGTCTTTGACTTATTCTTTTTTTTTGCTCTCTGTGTTCTAGGGAAGAAACTGCATATCAAGCCTCGCTTCTAGGAAGCTCCAGGAACCATTTGGCCTTTTCAACACACAGCTGATGGCTAGAACAGCAGGAGTCCTTTGGCTCAACTGCAGCGTGTTTAGGATTGCCACTCATAGACATATTAATTATATTTTTGAGATATTGCTGCCAAGTCATTCTTTATTGTAAAAGATATAATAATGAATGAATGACTGACTTAATATACAGAAAACTACATAGAGAAGAACACAGAAAAAATCTTGGAATAAGCATATACATAGCATCTACACCCATCAGCCATAATATTAAAACCACTTCCTTGTATCTGCACTCTTCATTCATTTCATCAGCTTCACTTAGGAGCACTTTGTAGTTCTACAATTACAGACCGTAGTCCGTCTGTTTCTCTGCATACTTTGTTAGCCCTCCAGTCTGTAAATGTAGAACTACAAAGTGCACCTGTATGGTAAGTGGAGCTGATGAAATGGACAAAGAGTGTAGAAACAAGGAGATGATTTTACTGTTATGGCTGATCGGTGTCTTTCCATTTGCGTATGTGACAGCAGGTCTTCATCTGCATCCAGACACCTGAATCACCTGCTCTCTGACATTGTCTGTCAAATCACTTTCAAAATGTATCTTATTTTCCAATTGTATTTAATTTTTGTTTTGATACACACAGTCACCCTTTAGAGCTCATAGATCTCAGGGACTATTTTCTCTGCATGTGACACTTTTAAAGAAATGTAATTTTAGTTTGAATGAAACAATCTGTCATTTTATTGTGGAATATTTAAGTCGAGGATTTTTGTATTGGAAAGTTGAATTAAAGCTGTTTTCAGATTTTGTGGAGTAATGATTGTGTGAGTTTGCTGTGTTACCAACAATGCAAAGTGCTGTGAAATATGAGAAAAGAACTGTTGCACATGCCTTAAAGAGAGAGACGAAAAGATTTAAGGGGACAAATCATGAGGAACTGAATTTTCTTGCTTTTTTTTGAAGTAGGTTGTACTGATTCACTACACTATAAACACTGTTAACATTCAAGAACGTACTGTTCACTTCTGCTCCATACAGTCCATTATAGAGACCAAGCTGCAAAAAAAAGACCTGGTTTGAATTAATCGTTGTTGTGATGTCACAACCATGAACATATTTCCATATGATCACCATTCAAACTGAAGTGTTAAGGAGTGTTGTTACTTCAGAGTCATTGGAGTTAAATATATATGTGAAAACAACAATTAAATGTTGTTTAAATTATCATTACAGCCTGTCAAAAGATCCAAACATCCGAAAAGAGTGCTTGTGGATTTCAGTCCAAACTTGGTGGTTTTGTTTTGTGCATTTCAGAGTGAACTGATTTTTGAATAAAAATTATGATAATCAGAACAGTAGTTTGTAGTGCATATTCACTTGTATGCAAAAGTTTGGGCAGTGGACAAATGACATGTTTTATTGATTTTCTATGTAAAATATGAACACTTCATTTACAGAGAACACTTCTCTCGCTCCTACACATTTTAATGCACAATTACTTTTTATTTGTGGAGTTAAACATATTGGGGGAAAAAATGAAACAAGGTGTGGACTGTGCCAAAGATATGTCACATTTTTTTATTTGAGGTTTTATTTTTTCCCCTAATATGCATTATTTTTCCCCATTTCATTTGACGGGGGTATTCAGACCTTTGCATATGACTGCATCAGTCTTAATGGCACAGCAGCAAAATCAGCCTGTTTAATTCTAAGAGAGAAAAAGAGGTTGGGTCTTGTAAACATGAATTATGACTGTTTTCTGTACATGATGCAAACACAGGGAAAATATAATAGAAGAAAAATGTGGATTATCAGCCTTTTAAGGCTGGAGTGGAGAGGAGATATAAATACGAAGAGAATGCTTAATCCATATTGATGTTCAATAAGCTGATGTTCAGAATAAAGGACTACTATTTTTTATAGTTGTCTGTTGTCTAATTATCACTATTGATACATACAGTGACTTGCAAAAGTATTCAACTCTTACAATTCATCAGATTTGTCTGGATTACAAATGACACTTTTACAGAGTGTTCCAGACAGTATTTTTATTGCAAACCAATATGCTTTTAAAGTCAAAATTCGATATTTGTCAGCAGATGTTTCAATACTGCCCACATTTAAGTAAGTATTCGACCCCTTCAGACTAGGACTTGGTAGAACAACCTTTTGCTGCAATAAAAAAGTTTTGGGTAAGTTTCTACCACCTCTGCACATTGTTTGGGAGAGATTTTCACCCAGTCTTCTTGGCAGATTTGCTCCATGTTGTTTAGGTTGGTGAGATCATGCTGGTGGCCCACAATTTTTAAAAAGTGTCTCTGATTCTCTATTGGACTTAGACCTGGACTTTGACTTTGCTGTCGTAGGACATTAACCTTTTTGCTGTTCAACCACTCCTGTGTTGCTTTGGCCTTGTGCTTGGGATCACTGCCCTGCTTAAAAGTGAAGTTTCTCCCAAGCTTTAGTTCTGTATTAGACTGAAGCGAACTGTCTTGTAGTATCTCCCTGTATATTGCACCATCCATCTGGTCTTTAATTTTAACAAGATACCCAGTCCTTGCTGAGGAAAAGCATCCCCACAACAAGATGCTGTCACACCCATACTTCACTGCTTAGACGGTGTTAAGGAATGCATAATGTTAGGTTTGTGCCACACATAGATTTAGAATTTTGGCCAAAAAGCTCCATTTTTGTCTCATCTAACCATAAAAACATATCCCACATTTTAGCAGGGTCCAGATGTGCTTTAATGTGTTTTATCTTTCATGATGTCTTCTTTCTAGCCACCCTTCCACACAGGCAGTTATATGCAGAACTCTCGATACCGTTGACTGGTGCACCTTCACTCCAGTCTCGGCCACCGCACTCTGTAGCTCCTTTAGAGTGATTTCTTGCATCTCTGTGGCTTCACTCAGAAAGTCCCTTTCTTGCTTTGTTGCTTTTGAGTTTTGAGGGACAGTCTTGTCTAGGCAGTGGCTGGGTGGTATGATGCAGCTTCCATTTCCACACAATTGATCCAGCAGTGCTCATCAAAATATTCAAACACTTGGCTGTTATTTTATAGCCTTTTCCTATCTTGTGCATGTCTATAACTTTTTTATAATTTTTTTTAAGAATCCTCCTTGGTCTTCATTTAGATTCACAGTCTGATCATTGGCTTGAATTAAGGGGGTCTTTTCTCAAACGTATTTGACGATTCACAAGTAGAGGCCAACTGTAAACCAAGTCCTTGTTAGGGCAATTTCTGTCATCTCTGTGAACTTTCCACAGCACAGGGTTTGAATGAGTAATTTTTGTCACAGAATATTTTCTTTGAAAAGAAACCAGTATGACTTTAAATTCATTTTGAGGGTCTGTCTTTTGAGATAAAATGTGACACCGTGTCATTTGAAATCCAGACAAATCTGAGAGCTTTTATGGAGAGAGGTTGAATACTTTTGCAAGGCACTGTAAATTGAAGTGATAAAGTATAGACATATATACAATGGGGTCTCTTTAAGGACACAAATGAAAAAGGTAACAAATATGAAGTGAACTGTTGAGCCCAATCCCATTTCACCCCTTAGCCCTCTATTTTGCACTTTCACACCTAGGGGTAGGGTGAAATGTTAGGGCTACATGGCCCTCCAAACATAGGTTTTTCCGAGGGACACCCTAAATGGAGCGTTGTAAAGAAAACTGGCAAGAGGGCTGCACGAGCAACCAAAGAAACCCACAAATGTAAGTATTTTCTCCGTAAAAAATGTCATTTCAATGTATTATCGTCCTTTTTTTGTTCATGATAAGCATAAACAATTGCTAGCAGTACGCTGATGTCTCAGTAACTAGCTAGCTAAATTTCTCGTTCCATTTAAGGTGGAATGGGAAAAATGAATAAGAAGCTGGCAAATAGGTTCAGGACTTGACAGGACTTCAATCACCGAAGAATAAGGGGTGGGTGATAAATAAGCGTTGCATCCTCCCCCTTGAAAGCATAAGATTCCCTAAAATGTAACTAAAGACCAGTCGCTGAACTTTACCCTCCTCTGTTATCACTGCAGGCTGGCAGGGTTGCCTACAGAGCAGAGTAGCCAGTTAATAAAATAATGTTCTTTTTTATTTGAAAGGTCCCATTTCATAGGGGAAATTTCAACCACTACTACTGCAAGGTGACACTCGAAAACAAGGGGTAGGGGTGAAAATAAGAAATGGGATTGGGCCTTAGTCCTCTAAGCACATCTATAATTGTCTTAAGTAAGAATCAGAGGATGAGTGAAAGCTGTCTGTTTGCTTCTCTCTGCTGCTGTAGTGCAGCCTCTCCAAATTCACCACTCCTAGTTTCTGACAGTGTCTCTTTTCTTCTGCTTTCTCCACTGAGGTTTAGTTGCAAAAGAAAGCAGCTGGAGATACTGCTGTATTCTCCCTCTCCCTCTCTCCCTCTCCCTGTTAATATAATTAGTATGTTGAGTGATAGAGAGGTGGATGCTGGATGATGTCTGGTGTGTAATCCTTTGCTTCCCCCTCACTGTGCACAAGCTGCTGATATTTCCACTATTAATACTCTGTTTAACCAAGGCCTCGCACTCCATGACAAACGACCACTGGTCGCTACGGGAAACCTGGTTAACCGTCGCCGCCAGCAACGACAGGGGGCATTAATACAGCATAGTGAGGGCTTCGCTTCGGAGCACCCCACACTCACACAGCCTGACAGGCCTGCCGCCGTGTTAACGAGATAAAGGCTGTCTGCCTGATGTACTGTACACATTCACCAAGACAAGCTGACACAGAGGGATGGAGTGAAAGAGAATGCTGCACTCCTCTCTGTTTCACTCTTCTCACTCTATCCATCTCTCCTCTTCAGTCGTGTGTTATGTAGAGGAACGCTCCATGTGGAGGCTGATGGTGTGTCTGTGACAGGTGTGTTTCAGCAATGGAGTAAAAACACATGACCACAGGTTTTACATTTTGAATGGATGGTTTTTGTGATGTCACAAAAACAATGCATTTACATAGATCTGCCTCATCAGCCTACAGCACGCCCATTCATCCTGAAGTTATGCGGAGTGTTTCAGCCTGGACTGCTTTATGAAATCCACATAATTGATACTTGGAAATCAAGACACATGTACACTTCATTTTGAATTTGTTGTTTTTTGTGATGTCACACTTATCTACTAATATCTGCCTGTTCAGCTTACAGCAGTTCAGGCCCACTCATTTTTTCTGAAGTTATAGGGAGTGTTTCAGCCTGGACTGCTTTTTGAATGAGGCACATACAGGGGAGCCAATCAGAACAGAAGTAATTGTCATATATTAAATCTTAAAGTCACAATAAAAAATGACCTTAAGTTTTTGATAAAAATAAAATGATGAAAAGAAGATGAAAAATGGTCATATGAAATTGTACATACATAAACCCACACAACTGTCATCAGTAGAAAAAATGCAAAGTAAAAATGCCCTTATTTTCTCCTTTATAAAAATTGATAATATATTGGTGATATTGGTTCCTTAATAAAGACTTACACTCAAAGAACCATTTGCATGCTTAAAGGGTTCTGTGCATGAAATTGTTTTTCGGATTAATGAAGAATGTGTTGTATTTGGCCGTATATAGAAGCTTTTTGAAAAGGGTTCTGTACAGCATCAAAAAGCTTGACATCATAATAGAACGCTTTTCAAATAGAACCATATACAACACAATCTCCATCAATCTAAAGAACGATTGCATGATGCACATAACCCAATAAGCATGCAAATGGTTCTTTGAGTGTTCAAGGTTGTGAATAGAACCACTGTATGTTTATGTATGTGTATACACT